GCACGTTCATGATGACGTCCGGGACCATTATTATCACGTGCACGTTCATGATGACCGTCCTGGACCATTATTATCACGCTGCACGTTCATGATGACCGTCCTGGACCATTATTATCACGCTGCACGTTCATGATGACCGTCCTGGACCATTATTATCACGCTGCAGTTCATGATGAACGTTCATGGACCATTATTATCACGCTGTGCACGTTCATGATGGACCGTCCCTGGACCAATATTATCCACGCTGCACGTTCATGATGACCGTCCTGGCCATTATTATCACGCTCACGATCATTATGGACCGTCTGGACCCATTATTATCACGCTGCACGTTCATGATGACCGTCCTGGACCATTATTATCACGCTGCACGTTCATGATGACCGTCCTGGACCATTATTATCACGCTGCACGTTCATGATGACCGTCCTGGACCATTATTATCACGCTGCACGTTCATGATGACCGTCCTGGACCATTATTATCACGCTGCACGTTCATGATGACCGTCCTGGACCATTATTATCACGCTGCACGTTCATGATGACCGTCCTGGACCATTATTATCACGCTGCACGTTCATGATGACCGTGCCTGGACATTATTATCACGCTGCACGTTCATGATGACCGTCCTGACCATTATTATCACGCTGCCGTTCATGATGACCGTCCTGGACCATTATTATCTCGCTGCACGTTTTTCATGGAAGACCGTTCCTGGACCATTTTTATCACGCTGGGCACGTTCATGATGACCGTCCTGGACCATTATTATCACGCTGCCGTCATGATGACGTCTGAGTACCATATATTATCACGCTCTGCACGTTTCATGATGCCGTCCTGCGACCATTTATTATCACGCTGGCACGTTCATTCATGATGACCGTCCTGGACCAATATTATCACCGCTGCACGTTCATGATTGACGTCCTGGACCATTATTATTCACGCTGCACGTTCATGATGACCGTCCTGGGACCACATTATTAATCACGCTGCTGCACGTTCATGATTGACCGTCCTGGACCATTATTATCACGCTGGCACGTTCATGATGACCGTCCTGGAACATTATTATCAGCTGCACGTTCATTGATGACCGTCCTGGACCATTATTATCACGCTGCAACGTTTTGATGACTGTCCTGTGACCATTAATATCACGCTGCACGTTCATGATGACCGTCCCTGGACCTTATTATCACGCTGCACGCTTCATGATGACCGTCCTGGACCATTATTATCACGCTGCACGTTTCATTGATGACCGTCCTGGACCATTATTCTCACGCTGCACGTTCTTGATGACCGTCCTGGAAAAAAAATTTCCCCGTCTTCCATCCTCAGTAGTTCCCCCAGTTTCCAGGGTGTGTGAAGATTGTGGTAAGTGGAAACGCACAACATATCTGCTCCCTCTCTAAGGACCCATGGAGAGATGTTGTCCGGTCCCATTGCCTTTGAGGTATCGATGTTCCCTTAGCAGTTTCTTCACCTCCTCCTCATCTGTATGTATGTCGTCCAACACTTGTTGGTGTATTCCTTGTTGGTGTCCCCATCTGGTCTGTCCCCCCAGAGTCCTCCTGTCTCTACTGTAAATACTTCCTTAAATCTCGTGTTGAGCTCCTCACATACCTCTTGATCGTTTCTTGCGAGTTCTCCACCTTCTTTCCTCAGCCTTATCACCTGGTCCTGACTGTTGTCTTCCTCCTAATGTGGCTATACAGCAGTTTCGGGTCAGATTTGACTTTCGATGCTATGTCGTTTTCATACTGTCGCTGGGCCTCCCTCCTTATCTGCGCATACTCTTTCTGGCTCTTCTACTAATCTCCTTGTTTTCCTGGGTCCTATGCCTCCTGTACCTTTTCCATTCTCTGTTGCACTTAGTTTTTTGCCTCCCTACACCTTCGTGTAAACCAAGGACTCGTTTTGGTCTTCCTATATTTCTGTTTCCCTTGGGAACAAAACTTTCCTCTGCCTCCTTGCACTTTGTTGCCACATATTCCATCATCTCGTTACTGATTTTCTACCATTTCTCTGTCCCACTGAACCTCCTGCAGGAAGTTTCTCATACCTGTGTAGTCCCCCCCTTTTATAGTTTGGCCTGTCCCCTTCAGTTCCTGTTACCTTCTCCACTTGTAACTCTACTATATAGTCAAAACTCAGAACCACATGATCGCTAGCTCCAAGGGGCCTCTCGTAAGTGATGTCCTCGATGTCTGAACTGCTCAGGGTGAACACAAGATCCAGTCTTGCTGGCTCATCCTCCCCTCTCTCTCTGGTTGTGTCCCTGACATGTTGGTGCATGAGGTTTTCAAGTACCACATCCATCATCTTGGCTCTCCATGTTTCGGGACCCCATGTGGCTCCAGGTTTCCCAGTCGATCTCCCTGTGGTTGAAATCGCCCATTACCAGTAACTTTGCTCTGCTCGAGTGAGCTCTTCTTGCCACCTCAGCCAGTGTGTCCACCATCACCCTGTTGTTTTCTTCGTACTCCTCTCTTGGCCTCCTGCAGTTCTGTGGTGGGTTATACATCACTCCAATGACTACTTTATGTTCTCCGGACTGAATTGTACCTACAATGTAGTCTCTTTCTCCAATCATGTGTGTGGTGTGTGTGTGTGTGTGTGTGTGTGTCGTGTGTGTGTGTGTCGTGTGTGTACTCACCTATTTGTGGTTGCAGGGGTCGAGTCCTAGCTCCTGGCCCCGTGTGTGTGTGTGTGTGTGTGTGTGTGTGTGTGTGTGTGTGTGTGTGTGTGTGTGTGTGTGTGGTGTGTGTGTGTGTGTGTGTGTGTGGTGTCAAATAGGTAAAACTGGACAATTAGCAAGAACTCATTTAAAATTAAGTTCTAACATTTTCTCTTATACGTTTAAATATATATATTTTTTTAATTTATGTTAATGTAAAAATTAATTTTGTACCAAAAGAACCTTAGAAAACTTACCTAACCAACACAAACACAATGAAACATTTTTTTCGGTAGTTTCAGAATGATATTTGAGACATTATTGCATACACAAATTTTCGCTTGCCTTATTCGGCAAGAAGAGCATTTCTATTTAAGCCAAAATCGCAAGTTTTACCTATTCGGCACGACATTATATCAGTTCCTGATCAGCCCGGCTGTGGCTCGTACGTTGGTTTGCGTGCAGCCAGCAGCAACAGCCTGGTTGATCAGGCTCTGATCCACCAGGAGGCCTGGTCACAGACCGGGCCGCGGGGGCGTTGACCCCCGGAACTCTCTCCAGGTAAACTCCAGGTATATATATATATATGGTGCGGTTACTTTCCGTGGTACTCAACAGATGGCAGGAGGTGTACTCTTGCACCGCCACCAGCGGCGCTGGGGCGGATTATTTTCTTAACTAAAGCAAGTCACTTCAGCAATGAAGAAAAAATAACTGCATAAGTAAAGCCTGGAGAGAGACAAAGTCGAATATATTGGAAATAAATCACAGTCTCTTACTGTATCGAGTTAACCTGGGTTATCCTAGGTCAAATATACGTAATGTATTTTTTATGGCCAAATGGTAAGATAACAAGGTAAGATGACAAGGGAAGGTGAGGGAAATATAAGATAACAAGGTAAGATGACAAGGGAAGGTGAGGGAAATATAAGAAACAAGTAAATTGACAAGGGAAGGTGAGGAAATATAAGATAACAAGGTAAGTTGACAAGGGAAGGTGAGGGAAATATAAGATAACAAGGTAGATGACAAGGGAAGGTGAGGAAATATAAGATAAACAAGGTAAGTTGACAAGGGAAGGTGAGGGAAATATAAGATAACAAGGTAAGTTGACAAGGGGAAAGGGGAGGGGAAAAATAAGATAACAAGGTAAGTTGACAAGGGAAGGTGAGGAATATAAATAACAAGGTAAGTTGACAAGGGGAAAGGGGAGTGAAATATAAGATAACAAGGTAAGTTGACAAGGGGAAAGGGGAGGGGAAAAATAAATAACAAGGTAAGTTGACAAGGGAAGGGGAGGAAATATAAGAAAACAAGGTAAGTTGAAAGGGGAAAGGGGAGGAAATATAAGATAACAAGGTAAGTTGACAAGGGGAAAGGGGAGGGAAATATAAGAATAACAAGGTAAGTTGACAAGGGAAGGTGAGGGAAATATAAGATAACAAGGGAAGTTGACAAGGGAAGGTGAGGAAATAAAGATAACAAGGTAAGTTGACAAGGGGAAAGGGGAGGGAAATATAAGATAACAAGGTAAGTTGAAAAGGGAAGGTAGGGAAATATAAGATAACAAGGTAAGTTGACAAGGGAACGTGAGGGAAATATAAGATAACAAGGTAAGTAGACAAGGGAAGGTGAGGAAATATAAGATAACAAGGTAAGTTGACAAGGGAGGTGAGGAAATACAAAGATAACAAGTAATTGACAGGGAAAGGGGAGGGAAAATAAGATACAAGGAATTGACAAAGGAAGGTGAGGGAAATATAAATAACAAGGTAAGTTGACAGGAAGGTGAGGGAATATAAGATAACAAGGTAAGTTGACAAGGGAACATAAGGGAAAAATGACAGGGAAAAATGACAAGGGAAAATAACTTGGGAAAATGGAAACATTACAATGTAAGAGACATGGGAACGTGGGAAGGGAAGATGACAGGGAAAAGTGGCAAGGGAAATGACAAGGGGAAAGTTACAAGGGAAATGGCAAGGAACGTGCAAGGGAAGATGACAATTAACGTGGCAAGGAGATGACAGGGGAAGTGCAAGGGGAAAATGACAAGGGGAAATTTCAAGGGGAAAGGGAGGAAACGTGCAAGGGAAGATGACAGGGGGAAAGTGGCAAGGGAGATACAAGGACGTTACAAAGGGAAATGGCAAGGGAACGTGGCAAGGGAAGATGACAATGAAACGTGGCAAGGGAAGATGACAAGGAAATGTGGCAAGGGAAGATGACAAGGGAACGTGGCAAGGGAAGATGACAAGGGAACGTGGCAAGGGAAGATGGCAAGGGAAGATGACAAGGGAACGTGGCAAGGGAAGATGACAAGGGAACGTGGCAAGGGAAGATGACAAGGGAACGTGGCAAGGGAAGATGACAAGGAAATGTGGCAAGGGAAGATGACAAGGGAACATGGCATGGGAAGGTGACAAGGGAATGTGGCAAGGGAAGATGACAAGGGAACGTGGCAAGGGAAGATGACAAGGGAACATGGCAAGGGAAGATGGCAAGGGAACGTGGCAAGGGAAGATGACAAGAGAATGTGATAAAAGAATATGACAAGAGAATGTGATAAAAGAATATGACAAGATAACATGAGAAGGGAGTATGACAAGTTGACAAGATAACAAAGAAGACAACAGGGAAATATAACTACTTACGAGTGTCTGAGGGAGTAATAACACCCGCTAAGTGGTTGGAAGGTTCGGGTAGTCTGCCACAATAGTTGTGTTCAATGTTCACTGAGGGAGGCACGTAAGAGGCACTGGTATTGTTCCTGAAGGCGGCACTGCTGCTGCTATACCACGAGGCACTGTTTGTACTCCTTGGGCTGCCACTATTGCTCCACGTCTCGCTCATGTGGTCATCAGCGTCACAATCACTGTCGGTACCGGAGGGCGTGTCGGGCAGGTTGTCTTCGTCGTCGTCTTCAGAGATGTCGTCCTGTCTCAGTGCCTCTCTGAGTACTGCGTCGGACGAACATTCAGACAAGTTTCGTTCCTTCTTTATCGGCGGCTCCAGCAAGGCGGCACAACACGTCCCTGCGCCCCACATTATGTCTCGTTTCAGGGACACTTCGGGTACTGGAGATGCCACTGGTGCCCACCAGGAGTACCCGGGCGCCCGGAACATGGGCGCCATCTCCATACCTTCCAGATCATTCAGGATATCGCCGATATCTGATGGAGGAGTGGCAGACGGGGACTCAAGGATTTCGGGTATAGAAGCCACCAGGTCGTCCAGGTCATGCTCTGTGAGAGGGGAGTGCGGGGCACCCATATTCTGGTTCACCTTATCACACATGAAGTTGCCCATGTCTGACGTGAAGGCGATGTTGTGGTCTATCATGGGCTCGGAGCTGGGCAGGGCCAGGGAGCAGTCTGGCTCGATATCGAACTTGTTCCACATGTCTGCGAGCGAGGCGGCGGTCAACTCATGTGGCTGCGTCAGCCAAGACTCCGGCAGCAGCCGCAATATGTCAGGGTGCGTCGTCATCTGTTGAAGCTGTGGGAGATACAACAGTCAGTGAGGGCTCTAATAAATACACCCCCCTCCCCTTAATGTAACAAAAGCAATAGGGTCACACAAACTCTCTCCATGGGTACTGAGAGAAGCAGAACCAGTGTGACTCCCTAGATAGATCTTCAACCAATCTCTCTAATTAGGGCAATTGCCATTAAATTAAAAAAAAAAAAAAGCTAATGTGCTCCCATATAGGGTAGAAAATCCCCTCTGCGGTTTCGCTGGAGTTCTCTGACAAAGTCATAAAGATCAAACAAAATAGGACTGGGTGAGCTGCAGCTTCATACACAGCATCACACTATAAATCAGTAAAGAAATAAGAGGAAAGGACAGGGTTAAAATGCAGAGTGTTCCAGAGTCAGGAGGTACCTGAATGACATAGAGTAACAGTGAGAGAAGAGACATCAGAGCTGGAGAGTAATGATTAGGGTCCCACAAGGATCAATATAGGACTACTACTATTCTTTATATGCACGAACATACCAGTGGGGACTAAGTCTTGTGCGTCACTGATTGCTGATGTAAAATTTATGGGAAGAATAAGAGCAGAAGACAGTTATCAACTCAATGGAGACCTCAACACACAACAGATGTGGTCAAACCAAGTGGATTCCAGAGTTCAATCTAAACAAATGAGAGGTACTGAGATTTGGAGTTGAGGGTAGACCGGACACATTACAGCATGGATTGGGACAAGCTGCAAATATCACAACTTTATATATGTAAGACACATATGCAACAGTTAGGTATCTTTATTTCGAAACGTTTCGCCTACACAGTAGGCTTCTTCAGTCGAGTACAGACAAGTTGATAGAAGCAGAAGATACTTGAAGACGATGTAATCAGTCCATCACCCTTAAAGTTATGAGGTGGTCAGTCCCTCAGTCTGGAGAAGAGCATTGTTCCGTTGTCTGAAACAATATGTTTCATACCATGGAACAATGCTCTTCTCCAGACTGAGGGACTGACCACCTCAAAACTTTAAGGGTGATGGACTGATTACATCGTCTTCAAGTATCTTCTGCTTCTATCAACTTTTCTGTACTTGACTGAAGAAGCCTACTGTAGCGAAACGTTGTCGAAATAAAGATACCTAACTGTTGCATATGTGTCTTACATAAACAACCTGTCGGTATTTTATACCATTTTAATGTTCAACTTTATATATATATGTTAGGTCAATCAGAGTATACCACTAATAAATAAGGCAAAGGCATGCAGCCTATACCTTTGATATACATTTGAAGGGTTTCAAGAGTATTCTTACTCTGGCAGCCCGGCCCTGGGCTAGGCCTGCCTGGTGCTTTCCTGATCAATGAAGCTGTTACTAAAACTGAGTAAAATACCTCACGAAATCGTAATAACAAGATTACAAATCAGGGTACGGGTGGGGTTAAAACCCATGGCGAGTGAGACTTAAAACTCCAGGCAGAGAGAAGGTTCAGGGAAGACTATGATTATGACATACAAAATATTAGGAATTGAGTGTAAATGGGGACATTGTTCGAATTATAAGGACTACGATTAATTAGAGACAGATGAAAGATGAAGAAAGATGTAAAGTAAAAGGACACAAGTGCAACTAATGTGACATTTATTGTGGCAACGTTTCGCTCTCCAGGAGCTTTATCAAGCCATTACAAACAATACATGGACACAGAGGGTATATAAAGGCTCAGAGTGAGGTGAATACTAGTGAGGTACCATTTCGATGTTCACTAGTGGTAGTAGTAGTAGTAGTAGTAGTGGTAGTGACAAAAGTAATACAATATGGTAGAGCAATTAATTCGTACATGAGTAAAAGGATATAAAAGCTATTACTTGGGTAACATAAAAATAGGTTGGACAAATATAAACTGGAATGAGGCAGCTTGTTTCAGTGTTCACTCTCTGTCTTTGTGTAGTAAACAGGAGAGACTATGTGATGGCAGGGTTACTGTTTTCAGGAGGATTCTTGCTAAACTTCAGAGATGGTGAAGCTGCCGTTGTTTGTTTAATTGTATTCGAAACAGCGATCAGTGCTGATTCAAGGCACTTGCGTGTGCGGAAATTAGTTTCTTTTATCACTAATTGGGCGTCTTTGAATTTCGTAAGATGATTGGTGAATTTCGGTGTTGTACACAGGCGTTGTTTAAGTTGTCGTTCCTACATGCGTATATGTGTTCATTGAGGCGGGTGTCGAGGTTTCTTGCTGTTCACCTACGTAGATCTTGTCACAAGCCTCCACAGGGTAAAGTGTAAACTCTGCAATTGACTGGTTCGTGGTGCTTGGGTTTTGTCCTGGTTAGATCCTTTATTGAAGTGTAGAAGCGATGGCGACTCTGGTGTTAGCTTGTGAAAGTACTTTTGAGACGTTTAGTGCAACCTGGCTGTTGGGAAGAATTATAACTTTGTTGGGAGCGGTGTTGATGCGTGGAGAATTGATGATCTGAAGAGCTCTTTTCTCGCAGTCTTTGATGAAAAAAGAAGGAAATTGTAACTCAGTGAATGTTTGGTGAATGTAAGTACATTCCTCGTCAAGAAACTCAGGACTACAAATTCGGTATGCTCTTAGGAAAAACCCGATGATGATGCCTCTTTTGGTCTTGGTATCTTGACTGGAATAGAAGTGTGTGAGATCATTTTATTGGTGGTTTCCGATAAACTTGAAATCTTAGGTTGTTGTCTACTTTGTGAATGAGACGTCGAGGAAAGGTAGCTTGTCATTGGACTCTTCTTCTAGTGTAAACTGAATCGCTGGTTCAACTGCGTTGAGCCTTGCCTGAAGATCCCGTACATCAAAACGTTTTGGAGTTATTACGAGGACATCGTCCACGTAACGTAACCAAGTGACGCTTGAAGGGATGATGTTGGCGAAGTGTTCGGACTCTAGGTGTTCCATGTATAAGTTGGCTAGGACGGCACTTATTGGGGACCCCATTCCCATGCCGTAGTTGTTTGTAGAGCTTGTTATTGAAGGAAAAACAGTTGAAGTTAACACAGAGTTCAATCACGTCAACAAAATCTCCGGAGGTAAAGGAAGATTAAGGTCCTGGTTGACTTTAACGTCGTAGAACCTCGATGGCTTTTTTGGTAGGTACTTTTGTGAAGAGGGAAGTCACATCCAAACTGCTTAGTTTCTTGTTACGGATGGAGAGGTTACGATGCGGTTGAGAAGGTCGCCTGAGTGTTTAAGATGAGCGGGCTGATGGTCCCCAGAAGGCAGGAAAGATGTTTGGCAAGAACTCCGGCTAAGTTTGTGTGGAGCACTGCCTATTCCCGACGTGATTGGTCTGAGAGGAATATTGTGTTTAATGGATCTTGGTAAACCATACATGTGTGCTGGTTTAGGGTTGCTTGGTAACAAGTACAGAAGTTTCTTCCCTTCTCTAGTGCGTTTGAGTATTTGTCTGGTTTGTATAGAAAATCTTGGTGAGCGTCTCCCACTGTTGAGTGCTGATGGGTTCGTATGTAGATTGATCATTCAAAAGGTCCATCATTTTAGTGTTGTAGTCACTGGTGTTGAGTATGACGACTCCACCTCCTTTGTCGGCGGTGGTGACAATAATGTTGGGGTCGTTGGCGAGGTCCTTAAGGGCAGTGATGTATCTTCTAGGAAGATTAGAAGAAGAAGGTTCACATAAAGCTGCAGTGAGAAGGCCCTGTATATAACCCTTCTGGAAGTTGCTGTCACTGTGTCTATGGTTCCTGGTAACAAGATTGAGTTGATAGTTAGGTTTGCGTATGTTGGTGGTAAATTTGAGTCCCAGACTCAATGCTTGTTTCTCGTAGTCGGTTAAGGTGCGTGACGATAAGTTGTTTATCAGGGATTCGCGTCCCATTTCCTTCCATCGACTGTTAGTGCAGAGGTACTGAAGTTTGCGATTGAGTTTGATCTTCTGTTGGAGGTTAGCTGTGGTGACTGTGCTGAGAATATGCTCAGCAGTGTGTTGGTCAATCTGAAGATTGGCCCTCATATTCCTTGCAGTTTCAAAGGTTTCCTTAGCGATGTTAGAAAGTTCTTCGGCACATTCAGGAATATGAGGGCCAATCTTCAGATTGACCAACACACTGCTGAGCATATTCTCAGCACAGTCACCACAGCTAACCTCCAACAGAAGATCAAACTCAATCACAAACTTCAGTACCTCTGCACTAACAGTCGATGGAAGGAAATGGGACGCGAATCCCTGATAAACAACTTATTGTCACGCACCTTAACCGACTACGAGAAACAAGCACTGAGTCTGGGACTCAAATTTACCACCAACATACGCAAACCTAACTATCAACTCAATCTTGTTACCAGGAACCATAGACACAGTGACAGCAACTTCCAGAAGGGTTATATACAGGGCCTTCTCACTGCAGCTTTATGTGAACCTTCTTCTTCTAATCTTCCTAGAAGATACATCACTGCCCTTAAGGACCTCGCCAACGACCCCAACATTATCGTCACCACCGCCGACAAAGGAGGTGGAGTCGTCATACTCAACACCAGTGACTACAACACTAAAATGATGGACCTTTTGAATGATCAATCTACATACGAACCCATCAGCACTCAACAGTGGGAGACGCTCACCAAAGACTTTCTATACAAAACTAACAAATACTCAAACGCACTAGAGAAGGGAAGAAACTTCTGTACTTGTTACCAAGCAACCCTAAACCAGCACACATGTATGGTTTACCCAAGATCTATAAACACAATATTCCTCTCAGACCAATCACGTCGGGAATAGGCAGTGCTCCACACAAACTAGCCGGAGTTCTTGCCAAACATCTTTCCTGCCTTCTGGGGACCATCAGCCCCGCTCATCTTAAACACTCAGGCGACCTTCTCAACCGCATCCGTAACCTCTCCATCCGTAACAAGAAACTAAGCAGTTTGGATGTGACTTCCCTCTTCACAAAAGTACCTACCAAAAAAGCCATCGAGGTTCTACGACGTAAAGTCAACCAGGACCTTAATCTTCCTTTACCTCCCGGAGATTTTGTTG